CCCAGCCATCACTGCAGCTGATCTCCTCCTAAATACGCTCCCTAATCACAGCATCTCTCAGACTCCTGGCAGGCGGCAGAGGGGAGGAGGGGAGCTGGGGCACAGGGAAGCTCCTCACACTCAGCCCTGCAGGAAGGGCAGCTCCTTTGCACACCAAATGACCAAACCTGATTTGGCTGCTCAGCAAGTACAGCAGAGCAGACTCGGTGTGATTTGCCGTCCTCTGCGAGAAAGGACGTTTGCCCCCAACCTACAAACAGAGGCACACACAGAGGACACCTACTACAGGACATTTCTACAGGAGTTGGGATTTGCACTCCAGCCATCTGTGACTGGTGTGCTGGGCTTCCCTTGCCCTCACACCGAGTCCCTCTGCCAGGCTGCAGTGCACCACTGCTGCGTGCATCTCATTCAGGCAGGTGTGCTGTACCCCACCGGGGACTTCAAACCTGGCAGCCACAAGAGCAGTCCAAGAGAGTCCTAACTCAAACATGGGCAACATGGGAACATTTACAGAGCAGAGCAAGGCAGAGGTTAGGGACTAATGCTGCTCAACTTCCTCTGCAGCATTCAAGCTCAACATTTCAGTGTCCAGGGAAACTGCTACTGACACCTCCAGCAAAACATACTGTAAAACCCAAATCAGCAACCACTACAGCACTGAAAGCCAGGACAAGGAGAGGCGCATGGAAAGAAGCTGAGCTGGAAGTGTAAAAGGAGAGCTTTTCTCCTGTTGGGGTTTGATACACAGAAGCAATTCCCTGCTCCTCCCACAATTCACATAATCTCCTACAGGAACAACAACAAAATAACTGGGTAGACTGCAAATTTTGATCTTGTTTAGAAATTTGGAAAGATGGAGAGCAGGGAGAGAATCCACCTCTTTATTGCAGAGGCAAGAGCAAAGCCACAGTAAGGAGAAAACGGTGAAGTGGTCTTAACTTCCAAGACAGCTGTTTTTCATTTTTTCAAGAGGGGTCACTTGCAAGAGTTGAAAGATACAGATTTTCAGCAGCAAATTAAATTTAACAATAGATGTAATGCACAGAGATTTCTCCTCCCACACCTAAAAAACAAGGGCCAAAAATCCTGCACATGGTAGTAGGATCACTATATACTATTTGGTATAAGCAGCATCCTAAAAGTTATCACAGGATACAGCTCTGCCTACCTCTTTTCAATACAGGACTATCTCAAAGTACATGCCAGAGTCAAATCCTGGATATTTCCCTAGTGCTACTAAAGCTACTGCATCTCTCTTGATCCTTTTGATCACTGCAAGCAATTTTACTTTATTTGAACTTTACTGCTTCCCAGGAACTGAAGCACTACTTGCTATGAATTTTCATGTTCAAAAAGTATTCTGGTGACACCCACAAGACAACTTCCAAAAAATTACAGTTATTACTTCCCTCTGCCTGTAGCTCTGGTAAAAGCCTGTGCATTCAATCCCGCAGGAATTTCAGATGACTGAAGCACTGTATTTCCCCCACGTGTAATAACCACTGCTCTTATATGTCAGCTGAACACTGACTAACGTGAAGTCTGTTTCCCCTCCCTTTCCACAAGCATTTGGCCCTTGTTTAACATTCAAGTTCTTGGCATGCTCTTCACTGGACAGTCTTAAGCATCAACACAATACAGATAATGGCAAATACTTCATTAAAGCTGAAAGATTAATTTTAATCTAGACCAGCTCTTACATGATTTATTAAAAAAAGAGAGAGAACAGGCATCCAAAAATCATAGACAATAGAGAAACAGTCTCCTCTCAACATCTGACACTGTATTTTACAAAGGGTGAAGCTTACTCGACTGAAGTTGTTAGGACAGTCCTTCACAAAGGCCACCACCACATTCACACTCCCTGCTTGCAGAGAGAAGCCCTGTAACAGCACCATGCCTCTTCAGTGCTTTACTGCTTCAAGAAGAGAGTTTGATAAACATGTCAAGTAATCCAGAATCCTTTAAATACCCTGAAGTACTCCTTTTCCTCCTTTTCAGCTATGTACAGCAATCTATTGGGTACTTCCCAGTCTGCTACCTAGTATTTCTTCATCAAGAGTCTTGAAAAATAAAGGTAACAAGTAGTACCATGGAAGGAGAGCAAGGTCTGTTACCATCACCCTGGCTATAATCAAGGGAAACACTACAGCAGGCAAAACTTCTGTGAAGCGGCAATGGACTATATGTACTCCTGAAGCAGCAGTTACTACATCAGGTAACTATACTATCAAATTCTGCTAGAGAAGGTACAAAATGTTACATGTAGCTATGCTTGAGTTAGAGAGGGGCAGGGCGTCCGCACATAAGGGAATATTCTGGCGCTGTGACCAAGCCTAGAAAAAAACCAACAAAGCAGGAGGCAGGTCAGGAGAGAGGGTTAACCTGTGCAAGAGCCAGGCACACATTTGGGTGCCCAGGAGAGCCCCGTGCATATGCATTGCCAGGCAGAGACACGGCCTCCCCCGGGAGAAGTGCCAGCTCAGGGAAAGGAAGCATCAGGCAACGTATATCCAGGATACTGCAGAATTAACACCATAATTCTTCTCCTGTGGGAGACAGCTTTCTAAAATGCCTTTCCCCGAGACTTCCATTTTCAGGTTGCTGAATCGAATCTCCCTAATCACTGAGTTACAGCTGCAACGTCTAAATAGTGTGCATTTTTCGTTCAGTGTTTTAAAGATCTATTCCAAGGTGAATTCACTAAGTTCCTATTAAAATATTCAGTCCCTTTTTGTACTAACCACTTGAGCTACCAGCGAACACAGCTGGAATAACTGAGAAACCTATTCAGCTGAAGTCACCATCCCTTTTTCACCGTAAACGCACATTCTTTTAGTCCTCAGATAGACTTCAACGAAACCTGATCAGTCCCTTGTTTCTGATATTCTTCTGTACTAGCAGAAACATCAGTTTCCTTTCTTGGCTTTCCCCACACTTGCGCTCTACCTAACTAATACCTTCGTAAGTAAATCAAGGACCAGGCTAGTATCCTTAATGTATTTTAATTATAGGAAGGCATGAAATCTAGAAAGTAAGTAGTATATCAAAACATTGACTGTATTCACCCATACTTATTTTTCCTACTTGTTGGGTCATAAAACTGTCATCATCTTAATATGAAAAACAATTAGAATCTATATATTGCTTCCCCTGTAACTCGTTAGGTGCCTAAACACTTAAAAACTGACTCAATTCTTCCGATACTTTCGGGCTTCTGCTAATACGTTTCTGAATTTCATTTCAATTCTGTTTATCGTGCAGTTTTCCCAATTTTTCTTATCTCCAGAGTTAATTTCAATGCTCCTCCCTTTGTAAGAAAACAGTTTCTCATTTGCGATCAGTTTATCAAGCTACCCTTGCCCTAAGCAGGCTTGTATCCACTAGCATCTGAGGAGATAGTTCTCCTGAGCTTTAGCCCTCACTACAGGATGGATGGGGAGCTCTGCGGAGCAAACACGGCATTAATGGCTATCAGCAAAGGAAAGCCACCCTTCAAGCATCTCCCACATTAAGCTGAACTAAATTTGAACTCGAGAGATCGGATATCTCACCTACATCAGTGGGGACTGTGACGTGACCATGGAGGGGACACATCAGTTCTCAGAGGATCTGCAGCCACCTGCTAAACAATCTAGGGGCTCCACTGGTTGGTCCCCAACATGACCTCACTCAGACTAGATACAGAAACAAAACACTATCACATAGGCTTCATTCCACAAAAGTACGGGGAAAAAAATAAAAATAATGAAAAAAAAAAATCGACCTTCAAGGCACAGCATTCTCTACTTCTGACAATGTTTCTCCATGCAAACTACAGTAAATGGAAAAATTTCACCACTCTCCAAGCAGTCTTCTGCTCTTATCATCACATGCCATGTTTTGGCAAAAAGAAGAACGCATATTCTATTTTTTGCTTTTATAGGGATTAGGCAAAACATTCTCCACTTCTACATCATTTATCAAAATCATTTGCCTCCTCCTCCTGCTTTTTTTTTCCCATTTCTCAGTCAACCCCCCTACTAAGCCATCTTTTCAACTTGCAAGACAGTTAAGGGCCTAATGCATTAATTTTCTTCAAATCCAGAAGACCACTAAGGACTTAGATCTTGTCTTGTTCACCTCTTCTAGAAACAGTTGCCTCTGGCATCTCAATCTGTTGCACTCTCTGCTTTCAGCATCTTTTACTGCAGTTCAGTTTTGCTCATTCACCTCCTCATCCACCTCGCCTGCGAAGCAACTTTAATCCCTGTAAGGGATTCCCTGCACACCAGGAGATACACATTCCCTGCATACTACGAGGTACACTCCCCTTTGAACACACATATGTCTCTGGAAACAGAAGACCAACAGCTTGGGTAAAGAGTTAAGATTTTTTTTCTCATTTCATAAGACTACAGTCTGGTTTCAGGTTTTGGAAATCTTCAGGACTAAGGAAAGCAAAAAATACTTTTTCTAATCTGTTGAGAAGTCAAATTCACAAGATTTCCTCATTCAACGTATTTCTGCCTTTGAAGACAGACTTGCTAGTTTTCAAACACACCACATTTAACTACAGCATGAAAGGAGCAAGGCATATAACATCTATCCTTCAAAAAAAATAAAAATCACACCTGTTCTGGTAATACAGATCTGCTAGGTAGAAAAGACATTCAGAAAAATCAGTCTGCAACACTTCCCTTTATTATGAGTGATTGGTATACACACACAAATAGATACATCTTCTATAAACATAGTTCTAGCTCAGCTTGCAGAAGAAAGAGCTCAAAAAGAAAAGAAAGACAGTATCACAGAGTGTCTATTTCTAGATACAGGAATTTTTCTATCATCCTATGCTACCTCCTTTCAATCCTCTCTGCCACACAACTCAGTTATTTTGTAATGCTTAAACAATGACTGAGACAAGCAACTTCAGATCCCTTAAACTTATTACAGCTTCAACTCCAGTGAAGTATTTTCTATTAATAACAGGAAGAAGGGTAGATCAAGACACTAACCTCTGGCTGACAGTTTTTTGGTGTTGATGATTTTTGCAGCATATTCCTGTGATGAACTTTTCTTTACACATCTGCGGACCACAGAGAAGGCTCCCCTAGAAGAAAAGTAAAGAGGGTGGGAGCTATGAAACTGAAAATAAGAATACAATACCAACAATTTCTATTCCCAGAGTGGACCAGATTAAGGACAGGGCACAAGACACACAGAAGAGGGAAACAACACATGAAAATTTGGTGAACAGCGTGTGCTGTCTGATCAGTAAATGAAACCTAGTCTATATGGTGCTCAAGCCTCTTGAAGATCTTCAAGCCCCCTCCCAGACAGCGCAGTAAGAACAGGGAGAGAGGGACCACATGGGCACAGAAGCAGGACATGAATGGACTGATGAACGGGAGACAAGCAGCCCAGAACAATGCTGCAAACACAAGCCAGTAAGTCCATCTCCCAAAGACAGCGTCCCCAGCAGTTACATCAGACAACCAGGACGCATTTCTCCCACATTCAACTGCCGGCTCGGTCATGAAATCACTGCAACACTTTGCAGAAGTTGCTAGTTCTGTTACATCTGTCTACCCACCTGCAAAACTGGGATAATCACGTACTTATTAACGAAGCGAGCAGGAAGCTATGAGGGTTTGTACATTTTTCTCAAGCTGGAATTACTGATATTATTACAACTATACCAAAGAGCTACTCAGAGAGGTCTGAGAGAGAGGGAAGAAGGATTTCTGTGAGGAAAAAAAAGAGATAATACAACAGAGACCAAGGTGAAAAGATAGGAACTCAAAATCCACAGGACTACACAGCTGAGCGCTTGACAGCGGTTCCTTCTTTTTTTAAAAAAACCCACCAAAACCAACAAAACAAGGTGGCAAAAGAATAACAACTGGCTTTACAAGAAAGATCTGAAAAGAGGAAAAGGATAAATAAGACAAAAGTGACAGAAAATTCTAAGTCCTTCAGATCAGGAATGCAAACCCATGTCTATAGACAAATGTACATATTTAAAGTATAAGAAAGGGGAACAGAAGCCGCACAAGGGCCCCACAAGACAGTTAGCCCTACAGAGAGCCTAAAATAGCTTGAACCCTCCCCATACTGCAGAGTCCTGCCTTTTTCTCCCCTTCCTCAACCTCTACATACAAACCAATAAGCAGCAAGGTGAGCACCAGCACTGGGCCCCGGGCTTAGTGACACACAGCTGCAGCAGCGTGGGGAGGGACGGGGACATTGGGCTAGAGAGAAGAGATGCAGCAGAGCCCAGCAGTTGGTGCAGGAAGGGAGGGAGCAGGAGAGCAGCAGCACCTAGGAAAGCACTGTCCCCAAAATCCTACCCGGGCCGTTGCTACGCTGCTTTCCTGTCCCATAGGGTCCCCCTGCAAAGCCCTGTCCTAGGGTACAGCACTAGGTCTGGCAATGCAGAGACAAGTGCGGAGAGAGGGAGGGAAGGAGAAAGGGAGCGAGAAACGCGGTGCAGCAGCAGCACCTGGTCCTTTCACAGACACAAGGAAGTGGGGACTGAAGCATCGCGGAGTAGCACTAACAACGCCGTGTCCCAGCGCAGACACAGTTGAAGGGGACGGCAACGTGTAGCAGGGAGACGGTGCGGGGAGGAGACCGCAGCAGCCCGGTCCTGCGGAGGGCAAGAGGAGAGGAGAGGAAGTGCCGGGGTGCAACAGGAGCGCGCAGCCCAAGGCAGGCTGCGGGGACCCCCCCATCCAGCGGCGGGGACGACCCAGGGGCGCAGAGGCACCTTTCCCTTCAGCGGCGATACCGCTGGGGTGGACGGAGGGTTGGAGAGCAGGATTACAGCTAATCCTCCTCCGGCTCCCAGGAGAGCCGGGCTGCC